CCCCTTCTGGAAGGGGATTAAGATTATGTTACTGGTGCTCATTTTAGCAGTTTTAACACCCAGCAATTAGAAGGCTTCGTGGTCATAGCTTCCCTTTGAGAAGAGCTCGTTGTGGACAAGGTGTTAATTTGGATGCTGTCTTTTCTCAGGAAGACCTTTCAGACCTGAATGAAGCTCAACTTAGATCGTGGTGATGGGAGAGCGCTCGTAAGCGATGTGTCTGTCAAAAGCTGCAGGAGCATTCATGGTGGGCAGGAGAGCTTGCGGGAGGAGAACTTTGTGGGTAACTGAAGCTATTTAGACCGAGGTAGATCACCACAGTGGCTGGGACGGTGCTGATGACTTTGCACCCTCTTTGTTGCAGACGGAGCTGTTGAATCTCTCACTTGAGTGAGCACAGGATGTGTTTTTTGCTGAGTGTCCGATACAGCATTTCTTAGGGGACTGGCAATGTCGCACGAGGGCATAGAGGCATCATGTGTCTGGGCTGCTGTCTTCAAAAACCTCTCCTGTGATCTCTTCCTTTTTTTTTTTTCTTCTTCCTTCCCCCCCTTCTCGGTTATTTTGGGTGCTCGAAACAGGGCCTGACTTGACCCTTTCTTCTGAAATTGGGCCTTTCTGTGGAGGATCGGCAGAGGCCTTGAAAATCAACCCCTCTCTGCCCCACCGCTCATAAAGTGCTCTTAAAAGCTTTGGGCTGCTGCTCTCACTAGCTGTGGGTCTTGCAAAGCAGAGCAGGGGAGCTTTGGCCTGAGATGCCCCCGTGCTTTTAATGAGCATCAACTGGAGAGACTGTGCTTGGTGAGGGCAAAAAGAAGAATTGTTCTGAAGCCAGATAAACCTTACGTGTCTGTCCTTGGAGCTTCCCCAGGAACTGGTGCTTTTCTAGCCCAGAAAGGCTGTCAGTTGCCTGGGAAGAGGACTTTGGAGCTCCCCTGGAGCTGTTGCAGTTAAGCGAGATCCAAACCAGCTGTGATGGGATGGACTTCTGGTGGCTTAACTTGGTTGGGGAAACGGAGCATCCCTGTTCATAGTGGACAGGAGGCTGTTTTAATACAAGAGTTCTAGACCTCGAGCGCGATCAACATGTGATCTTACGAATGTATTAGTTTTTGGGTCAATTAAGATTGATTAAGATGGTTTTCTTGGTCCTGAAAAGGTTGAGATTTTAACTGTGAAGTGCTATTGCATCTGCATTTACAAAATGTAACTGGAGATGTTTATCCTTTTGCGGGGTGGTTGCTATGGCTACGAAGATATTATTATAGATTGTTTCTGGCTTTACTAATAAGAGAGCTCTCTGTGTTTGTATTCATGAATTCACAGATGTACTGGATGCTGTTATCCTTTACCATGTTCTTTAACATAGTAAATGCTTACATAATTGCATAACCTATTCGTTCTCAGCGTCACTTCCTAGGCTATAAAGTATTATTTTACATATATATCTTTTTACTCTGAAAAGGTATTGTAAATGTAAGCAGGACTCTCTTTAAAATGTGAAACTTGTTCTTTGTGCCTTTTCCCCCCCCCTAATATTTGCTAACTCTCTGCCTGTGATCTGTCACTTAACAAAAACTGCAGCCGTTTCTGCATAGCCTGATGGATGTGCAGATTGACAAATGGCGTTCTGAGTGTCTTTGTGGGGTGTCTGCAGCGGCAATGAAGGAACTCGGATCACTCGCTGTAAGTTGAAGGAGTCACAGATCAGAGCGCAAAGTTGCTGTCTGTCAGCAATGAGGATCTGTCAGCTCAAGGAGAAGGTCTCTTGCAGACAGAGTATGTCACATCCTCCCCTTCTCTCTTCCATGTCTTCCCAGCTGGAGTTTGTAATGATTAAACTACAGAATGTGTTAGGCTGATGGCAACGCAAAACACTAAGGCGAAGTTGTGGAAGAGTCTTGGAACTCAGAACAATGGGGAAAAACATCAGAGTTTCCTTGGCTAAGTAACTCGAACTCCCATTACCAATCCTGTTTTGAAAATTGGGCAGCTTTGCTGAGCAGCTGTTCCTCGTGTACCATGTCATGGGGGGGGGGGGGGGGGGGTGGGTGTGTGTCACACAGGTTGTCTCCTCTCGCACTGAAGCTGTTGCAACTCCAGCTAATGTTCTCTTGCAAAAGCAGGTGATGAGGCAGAGTAAAACACAAATGTTTCTTTTCACTTTTTTCCATTGGTGCCTTTGGGTCCTCATGTTGGCTCCTGTTCCCTGTCTTAGAGGCAAGTAGGCTGTCTCCATCTGTTTCTAATATAAGAAAAAGAGAATCTGGAAGTCTTTGGTCCCATCTACCGTTTGCCTAAGTGTACGTACCTGCTCGATGTCAGTTTGTCAGCATCGTGCCTTGCACAATGGTAGGTCAGGGGGTCTCTTGCTGATGCAGCGTGGCAGGGCCAGGCATTTGAGCTGGTGTAAGTGGGTCTGCACTGCGCGTACTGGTGTGAAATGGGAGTGGGATTCCAGTCAAGCTGGTGCTGGCTGGAAAGCAGGCGCAGTCCCCGGCATGCAGGGCTAGATGGGGCTGATGAGCTGCCTTTCCCTGCCACGGCTTCTCTTGCCAAGTCAGACTGGGAAATATTTCCAGCTGCCAGATGGGAAAACCAAGACATGAACCTCAGGCTGGAGAGAGAAACCTGCTTGCACAAAACCAGTGTGACACTGTTCATGTCTCCTCCAGGGAGAAGGCCATAGAGCAGTGTGCAAGCTAAGGTTGGTGATGCACGTCGGTGGTTTCAGGCTCCCCTGCTCTTTGGCAGCGCAGAAGATGTAGGAACGCTCAGTATGTTTTCAAGGTCCTTTGGGTGCAGAATAGCTCTTTTTCCCAGAGTAAATATAAGGTTGGCAGGAAGGGGGCTTTGGGGAGCGTGTTGCGTTTCCTTAGGGAGCTTGTAGGGTGATTAGGGATGCTGAGTTTGAGGCGCTACAATTTAGTATCAAGTTTTGTCCCTATCTCTGACCTGGATGGTGCAATGTGGACTTGCATGTTGTGTGTCCTCTGTGAAGACTGAGGTAGCCATGTATACTTTGCCCTTTTCCAGGCAGGGTAGTTCTGAGGCTAAAACTCTTGTTACCCTGTTCAGGGCTTTACAAAGCAGAGCGAGGTGAAAACTTGGAAATAAAAGTTCAGTGGTTGAGACATCAAAACGTGGCAATTTGGAAATCAAAGCTGACGAGTGTTACCTGGGCTTTTTTGGAATCCAAAGGCTCTAAACTCGGCCTCTTCAATTTGCAAGTACGGTTTGGGCCGGTGAGAAAGCTCAGGGCAAACCTTGCATGGATGGCTAAATCAGGGTCTTAATTTGCCTAAGAGACTGAATAGTTTTTACTTTGCTTTTTATACCGTTCACGCATGCTGCTCGTTCTGTTATGAACGGTGTTTGTGTCTTCATCTGCAGAGTTACGTGCTCTTCTGAGCTGTCTGGCAAAACTGAGCTTCAGCACTCTTTGAAGGCCATGAGATTTCTTTTCCCAACTGCAGGATGAGGACTGAGGCTTTCTTCAGTGAGGAGGAGAGTTGCCCTTAAAAGCTCCTTAGAGAAGAGACCAAGCAATTAGTCTGGTCCAGGCTGGACTATTTGGAAGTACCTGCTTACATAAAGTTTTAAGAAGTCTTGAAAACACCAGGGTAATTCCAGATAGAAAGTGAGGATCTGCTCTGAAATGCACTAAAGTCTGCTCTAGTGACTTCAAGGGTGAAAGACCATCTGTGGGGACAGAAGTCTTCTGTCTAGCGGTAATGAAGAAAAGACATTGCGTAATTATTGTTTTATGTGGGGAAATGAAGACCACTGTGGGTGTGAAATTACACAGACACAGCAGCTGCTACTGAAGAAATCGCTTAAGATGTGAATTATTGGCTTTTACTTATTTTGAATTAAGAAGTTTTTTAATCGCTCTTGTAATCGGCAAGAAAATCAAAGCAAGAATGAACCAAGCCTGATGCTTGGTTTGATTTGGTGTAAAAGCAGGGCCAGGTTCTAGGTATATTCCAAGCTTGTGGATCCTTTTTATTATCAGTGTCCTTGAACTGGTGAAAAGCCTTCTGCTGAACCTGGGAACAACCTTAGGGTTCCCAGAATGAGTCAAAAGGGATGTCTGTGCTCCTGCTCCCTGTGGGCTTTCCAGGTTTGGCTTTGTACGCATGTTGCTTCTTGTGGACCAGCAGTGGTCTGTTTTCACCTGTAGTCTGAAAACTTAGCAGAACCTGGAGGCTGAATTCAGCTTTCCTAACGAACGACTGATGTGGCGTGTTTCAGAAGGGCTAATCAACTTGGTCTCGATTTTGGTGGAAAGGGAGAGATTCTGAGCCGAGATTCTCCTTTGTGTGTGTGTGTAACTTCTGTTCCAAGTTGGCTCTGTATTAAGCTAAGCCCACCAGTCTGACTCTGAAGCCCTGATTAGCCATGAGCAGTTCTGCACCTGTGTTAGCCACCTCCTGCATATTTGTTGCTTTGAGGTGTCAGTTAACATCCCAGAAATGGGTGAACCACTTTCAGAAGTAGTATTCTCTTTCCGCTCCTCGCATGCTGCTGATCCTCCTTGTGCTGTTTTGTAGCCCCAGTAGGATTTGGTTTGACAGTAGTCAGGTAGATCCTCCAAATGAAATCAGAGCAACAGACAGCGGAGCTGCTTCTGTCCTTTATGGTGTTCTTGACTGTAGAAGTTACATCACATGTTTCTTTAAAACCTCACCTTGGGATCTTGGGGAAACTAAAAGGAAGAAAGTATATAACCTACTGCCTGCAGCTTTTGAGTTAAGAGACGTTTTCTGTTGGAGTCTGAAGGAGGAGAGCAAAGTACTCTTTCTGAAGAGAGATCCTCTGTGTGAATTTGGGAATAGTCTTTTCCCCTCTGCTTCATTGCCTATATATTGTATATAATAATACTTGCCTTCCTTCTGCAAACTCTTTCACGCCTATTGGTAGGAATGTATTGTATTTAATAAAACACTTTAGGGGCGAACTTTTGGTATAAATTGATCATTTTCCCTTTTTAAAAATAGGTATATCGCATTGGATCTGAGGATGATATAGGAAAACATCCTTCTGTACTACAGGCTCCTGGGAACAGAAGCCTCCCTGCAAGGCCAGCTTTGAAGATGTGGACCGCCATTGTGTTCCTCCTGCTGATTTCCTTCTGTGCGTGTGAGAACAGAGTTTCTGTCCTGAAAGAGAGAGGAGCCCACATAGTGCGAATAAACAGGCTGACAACAGAAAAGCAATGCAGGCAAGCGTGTAAAGGCCCAGCTGCTTCAGGTGAGGTTATTGCCCTTTAGTAGGCATTCTGGCTGGGTTTTTTTCTTCCTTAAAGGTCTCTTCTGCTGCCCTGATAACTATCCTTTTTAATTCCAGTTGTTTACAGGCATTTACAATTATGGCTTCTGTGTGCAGTCCTGTGGTGCTAAAGAATTTCTGACAGCTTTAGTTAAATTGAATCCAGAACAACCATTTCCCAGGGCCTTTCTAGCCTAGTAAGAAGCAGCATGCATGTGCACTTGGTGTGCACTGGTAGCGTGCAAATGGTGTTAGGACACTTAACTTAAAGACTGATCACTCCATGCTGCCAGATGTTTGCAGGTGAACAGTGCTATAGTAGACAGCTGCACTGGAACGAGTAGTTGTTGCTCACTGGTATTTGTGTCCTTCTGCCTTAGAAGAAACCAGTTGTTAATTTTCCTGCAACTGAGCATGGGGTTAAACAGGGCTGGGGAGATCAGAGTCTTCCTCTAGTCTCTCTCTGACGTGTTTCCCTCTGAGTTGTCTTTTAAAAAGCATTAAACTCTTAAATTTCAGAGGTGTCCTTACTAAGGACCCTAACTTACCTAGCCATATGTGGAAAACTTTTAGCACCTACAATGAATCAGACTGCTATGGTACAGGTGAGAACTTGACTCAGGTGGATGAATGTCTGATGTTTCTTTTAGAACTCAGATTGATAAAATATCATCAAGGTGCCTTTTTTCATGCTCAGAGTTCTCAAACGTGGTTTTCCTCTATTCTTTCACAGTAGAAAGCACCTTGACAAATTAAGCTTCTAGTTTAGGAGGTTAGATGTGAATGGGTTTGTCTCCCAGGTACCAGGGCTTAGAAGACTTTAGCTTCTGCTCTTTCAAGTGGTAAACCATACAGAGATGACTTGTTCACACTGATTCTACTGGCATTTAGGATCTGTAATACTACGTGTTTGTGTCTTCCACCTGAGAATCTGTAAGCACTGTCCAAATATCATCTTAACCTCACAGTATCTTTGTGAGGGTAGAAAGGGTGCTATCAGCTGCCTTTTCCAGAGGAGGAAGCTGAGGGAAATAAGGACGTTAGTCTGATCAGGGGTGGGAAGGGACACAGTCCGAGTGCGTGCTTCACCTTGTTGTTGACCTCAGTTGCTTTTTCATACTCTTCACTTTTTCTCTTGACGTGGTGTTTCTTACAGAATGAGTCCAGCTGAGTGTTAGCTTTGGGCAAAGGTGGGTAAGCCTTTCGAATTAAGTAACATGGGCCCCTCTTCAGGAAACAATTTAAAATTAAACCCCAAAGTATAACCTGTTCTTACCAGGCTTTATGTGCTGCGTGGAAGCAGCTGAAGCAGTTTCATTCCTGTCTGTTTCTTGGAGGCAGTCTGTTGCACAACTTGGTGTCTGAGGAAAAGATACAAACTCCTCGCACAAATACATACCACATGCTGAGAGATCATCTGGAGAGAAAGGCCTGAACTCTTTTTTTTTTAGGGAGTTCTGTTTTTTTATGATTAGCTTTAGGCTTTAAGATCAGCTTTATAGCTCTCATTCTCAGCTTCCCCCCCCCCAATGTATTTATTTTTGTGCCTTTTTGCTATTTCACTGCAAATAGGAGGCTTGAGAGTCCTAGACATCAGCATTGTAACACCTATGTAGCTGTCAAAGGAGCAGTGGTTGTTATTTTTAAGGTACTATAGTTTTAAGTCCTAAGCCAAGGCAGATAGCTCTAGGGAGTTAGCTTTTCCTCTTCTTCATAGCTACGTTGCTTAGAGGAATGGAAAAACAACACTCCTAACTGATTAAGCTCTCTTTGGTAGATGTAATTTATATCAGCAGAAGGCCCCTTGCTGATAGAATATATCTAGCTTAGAGAAGCAGTGAGAAGAGCCCCTTTGGCCAGTGCATTCACATCTCCAGTGTGCCCTACAGAAAGGGGGATGGTCGCTGGTCTAGCGATTGCAGCAAAGCCTTCCAGTAGTCACACCAGAGACCAGGATGTACAATTAAACTAATAAAAAGGTACCTTACTTCAGAAGCAGCTTTTTTCCTTACAGAGACAGGAAGGAGATGTCATGGCACAGCTGTACCCACATCATGAGACAGTTTGACGCTTCAATTTTGTGCTAGTAAAAGCAGCAGAGTTCTCTAGGGCTGACAGCATGGCTAGTAACTCTGTGACCAGTATACGTTGTCTAATGCAATGAGTTGAAGCCTCCAGATGCTGCTAGGGTAAGTGATAAGTGATGGAGAAAGTGCCTGCCTTGGCAAGGAGCTGGCAATCCATAATTCCCAGATAGATGCCTAATGAGCACAGTGAACTCGCATTTGGGAGGTTGGGTAAACTCGTGCTCTTCCCTTTGCATCCCCAGCCCATATTCAGAGTTCTTCCAAGCTTCATCTGCAGTGACCAGTCTGGATCTGTAATGGGAACATCTCAGAGAGCAGAGCCACCTGGTAATACTTTTGGCCCATCCGGCACTCTCTGGGGAAAATAAAGGGAAAATATGACCTCTCTGCACAAATGAATATCCCTGCTCCCAACTTAACACAATACACCCGCATGCTTTGCATCCACCTGCCCGCGGGGATGTTTGCTCTCCTGTTTTGGAAGCTGAGACTTCTTTCCAACAACAGCAAGTTTAAAAATGAAATAAACCATTTGCAGCAAGACCCTGGTGTCTGCTGCCCGTGTGATTTCTTAAAATGGCTTGGAATAGCCTTTGTTGCTCTTCCAATTAGAAGAGAGCAGGAAAAAAAGAAACTGGAAGTGAGCAAAAAAAAAAAAAAAAAAAAGGTGGCAAGTGTCTTGCAATGAAGATATGAGTGGGAACCTCGCTCTGGGTTTATGTCAGAGGGAGCGCTAGTGAGTTCATCTGTAAAGAGGTACTCAGTTGTTCTGATAAGCAATGGGGAAATCTTGGGCAGCTGGGTGCAGTCCTGATGGCAGCAGAACCTGGCATGCTTTAACCATGCTGACCCTGTTATTCTCTTGACCTTTCTGAACTGTTTTAATTAGATAAGTAGCGAAAAGGGAAGGAACGCCATTGGCTTTTTGTATTCACCTTCCCAAGAAGTGAGAAATTCTACAGTTTACAGTAGATGGCCTGTGATGCTGCGCTAGCATGGCTTATCAATGCGGGCCAAGTTCGTGGCATTGGAAATCAGAGCGTGTCTAAACGTATTCATTTCTATATGAGAAGTGGATTTTAATTTATGAGGACTGCTGATTTGCCTCCTGCAACAGTCACATAGAGAAGTTCTTCATTTTATTGCTTTTTGACTTTTAAGTACCACTTTTTGAAGGGTTCAAATGGCTTCAGTCACTTTCTTAACCTTTTTCCAAGTCAGTAAAATCCCACTTTCCTATCTTCTTTAGGGCTGTCAAAGCAGAATGCAGTTGGTGGTAGGGGGATCTCTAAGTTCATAAATTTTCCAGAAGCACTTTTAATAACTGTGGTAACGTAAATGTTTTATTATGAAAAGTTCAAGCTCCCCATAGCTTTAATCCTCAGTGAGGGTAATTGCCTTTGTAGATAAGAGCTTTAAATATAGCCATATGTGCCACATGTGCATGTACTTTGCCCTTTCTCACATTTCTAACCAAACACAAAAATGATTTTCTGCTCCTATCATACGCTTGTGTGTCCAACTGGCCACCCGTCAGTGGATTACATCTGCTTCATCCCAGACTGATCACTGCTATCTTCTCCTGTGTTCCTTGTTAGAGCACATGTTACTTCCTAGTACCAGAAATTAATTATATGCTGATAAGATACTGAATAGAATCACAGCATAATTTAGGCAGGAAGGGACTTTTTAAGGTCTCTGGTCCCTGCTCAAAAGCAAAACCAACTTAGATCAGGCTGCTCAATGCCTGATGGAGAATGTTCAGCCTCTGTGGGCCCAGCGTTTGACTGACCTAGTGGTGGAAACATTGTCTTCCTTATGTTTAGCTGGAATTTCCTGTGTTGCAACTTGTCTGTTGCCTCTCACCCTATCCCTGTGCACCGCCAACAGGAATTGGGCTCCGTCTTCTCTCTTTC